TTTGTAAAGTATCAAGTTCCTACAACGTACTCAATAAATACTGGTTGTACTTAAAGATAATATTGTGCCACATTTTTCTCAGCCTGCAATGATTTTTAAATCAGGGAAAAAATAATTTAGTAAAGAAATGAAAGGAATGATAGTCCATCTCAGGACTGTGGATTTTCTGAGTATATTTCTTTCAGAAATCTACATTTATTCCCAATTATCTCACTGATTTTTCCATAAAAGAGAATTAAATACACACATAAAATTGAGAAGCACTTCTTTGTTCCCTAAGTGGCAAAGCTGGCATGTGACATTAAGGCCTTCTGACCCCACATCCAGTCTCTTCATTCCCCAAGTCTAATTCCAAAACTCCAAGAAGAAAAGCTTCTTACCACTTGGGCTTCTGAACAGGACAGGTGCAGCTGAATTGGGATCCTGGGGGATCGCCTCTAGATCCATGTCATCACTGTCAGACTCCTCAGCCACAGCCTCTTCTGCTCCTGCCTCATGCTGCCAGTCTCCCTGCCTTGGTTCCTCAGTCTCAGTATCACTGCCCACCAGGCCAGAGTGAGAGGCTGCTTCCTCCAAGCCATTACTCGGCAGGGCAATGACCTGAGCACTCATCAGGGCTTCCATTTCTTCAAAGAAGGGACAGGTCTCAGGTGGGTGGCCGCTCTTGACTTTCCGATAGCTCTTCTGGAGACCTTTGAACTTGGTCCGACACTGTTCCAGGGTCCGGAGGAAGCCATATTCCCTGAGCCGCTCAGCCACAGCCCCATACACCTGGCTATTTCTATGACAGTTTCGGAGAGCCTCATAAAACTCAGTCTGGCTGAGAATTGCAAGCAGTGTTCTGGTCTCTTTATAACCCCAGTGCACACCTGCCACCTTCTCATCCTCAAAGCCCCAGTGATCCTGTTCCACCCAGCTTCTTCTATCTTTCTTGGATGGTAACGGATCAGCATGCACTCGTCTGTCTCCCGTGTAGCTACCACTTGGAAGTTCTTTCTCCTTGGAGCCTGGGAGATCTGGAATCCATGGCTCTCCCTGCTCCAACCTGGAGACCACACTGGATTTAGGAAATGGAAATCCTGCTTGCAGGGAAGCAAACAAAGGGTATCTTAGTTAGGACTGATCATCACAAAAATCTTTGACATTCAGTCCTGCCTTTTTCATCCAAGAGGATTATAAATAAAGTGTCTAGGGAAATGTTTTCAGAAAGTTCAATGGGTTGAAAAAGGTGGGGAAAATACAGGAAACCTCAAAAGATGAGAAAGTTTCTATTTTCCAAACAGGGTGACAAGAGAGGAAAGGAGTCTGTGTGTTCAGAGCAGATAATTCTATTTCAAGTTGTTCCCTAGCTCTCCTATTTGTAGGCAGATCCTAGTACTGCTGGAAATAATTATTCTTCACTGGGGCTTCAGAATTAAACTCAGAGTCATTTCAAGGGGGAAGTGAGAGAAGACTGTCTTTATCTGTTTCCTTCACAGTCAGTCACCAAGTTCTAAAGGTGTTTATGTTTAGAACTACTGCCACCATCCAAGTCCAAACTCCTTATCCTCTCACACCAGATAACTGCAGCAGTCACTGTTCTTCCTAACTCCGGGCTCCTGCTTCCTCAGCGCACATTTTACCCTGCTAAGCCTTAACCTTAGTGCCTACCATACCCATTCCTGTCAGACTCTTCCTCCAGAACACAGCACACTTTTATCACCCCTCTGTGGCTTTTAATTCTCTCTTATCCAATTTCAGCCCGTCCTTCAAAAGGCTGCATTTGCCAATGCCCTCAAGAAGCCTTACCTACAGCCCTCCCTCATCTCCCACTCTGCCAAACCCATACAGTACTCACACAATTGAGTGAGTCATTGGCATTGTTTCAGTACAGTTCAGTTCAGCACATACTTAGAGTTAGCCATTGTGGTTCTCAACGATGTTTTTAAGTTCTTTGAGGATATGCACATTTTTTTATTGCAGAGTATCCTGCAAGGTGTTGAGCACCTTGATAGGTGTTCCAAAACTAATGAACTCTGCAAGTCTGTGAGATTCAGGGATTTAATCTGCATCACTAAACAGAGAGACCATTACCAAACTGGCTGAGAAAGCTATCATCTTAGACGATAATACCACAATTCAAAACAACTTCAACAAATTTTAAGTGAAATGGTAAGAGAAAAAAGCATACAACATGGAGATCAATAGAATACGAAGAAGAAAAACAAGTTCTAGAAAATCAAGTACAAGAATAATCAAGCAGGTATAAAGGCACTGGGGAAAGCTATCAGAATCCTGGAAGTTACCAGGTGAACAAAAAATCATATAATCACAGGTTGGGCTATATTGATACAAGGCGCAAGATTCTGAAGTAAAATTCTTACTTAGCTTCTAACAGTCACGAGAATAATATACATAAATTAGTTCTCCACAATTAACATGATATTTGGAGAACTTAATGGTTCCAATAGAGAGCAACAAAAACTTAGGTTTAAAGAATGAATCTTCTAGGGGAAAGCTTAAGGAAACAAATAGAGTTTAATTTGAAGAAGGAAAACAACCGAAAGGAAGATCTGCCTTCAAGTATAGAAAAGAATTTTTATCTAGAAAATAATGACCTATCATCATTACCAAGAGGAAGTAATTCCAGTTCTGATAAAAACTAGGGAGCCATTCTCTAGTGGACTTATCAAGAGGTAATAAAAGAATACCAGAGGGCTAAACTACATGTCAAAAACCACATATTCTACAATTTCCACTTATTCCTGAAATCCCTTTCCCACTCACTATTCCCAACCCTACTTCCCAACTTGGAATGGCACTCTATCTTCCCATATGAATCTACTCCTCACCGCTCCTTTGAAAAGGTCTGAGCTTCTCCTTTGGGTTCATCTGCTCCTGTGGTCCCAGGTCTGGGCTTCTTGCCCTCTCTTTCTTGGGTACGCCCCTGGGTTGGGGTTCCACTGACTCCTGCCGAACACTTAATAACTCTTGTGATGATTTCAGGGGTGTCATCTTCTCCAAGCGCACTTCCTGCCCCTTCACAGAGACTGTGACCTAGAAACAACCCCCGTTAATTGTCACTGCAAAAGTCATAATGAGGGGGCATTCCCAGAGGAGATTATTTAATACCCCAAAAGAGATCATCGTTCAGGGCCATGGCCAGGATTTTAGGGGTGGGGGAGGTTAAAGTGAACAAGGGTCTTATTCCATTGCCATTAGCTTAAAGCAGCTGAAACTCCAGAAGGAAACGATCAAAACAGTAAACCCAACTACAGGCTGAAAAAAAAATCCTCTTTCTTCCTTATTAAGAAACCATGAAACTAGCAAAAACTCATTATGACAGGGTAGGTGAAGTACACCTAGGTAGCATCTCCAGACAAGCACTATCTGAAAAAGTTACTTATACCAGACTAGAAGTATAAGCATCACCAGGGGAGATTGTGCCCCTCTTTAAGCCGGTCTATTAATTTAGCCCTCCACCCTAGCCCCTTCCCAGTATCACACTTGAATTCCCCCTCCCTTCTCACCGAAGGTCCAGGTCTTCCAGGCTCTCTTTCTAAATCTTCCACCAGAGTCACTGCCTCCTCTCCATTTTCTGGACACTGTTCCTGTACCCAATTCTGGATCTCCCCAGGTAAGACGGTCAGGAACTGCTCTAGCACCAACAGTTCTACAATCTGTTCCTTGGTGCGCACCTCGGGCCTTAACCACCGACAGCAAAGTTCCCAGAGCTGGCTGAAAGCCTCCCGCGGCCCAGCCACCTCCTGGTAATGGAATCTCCTGAAGCGCTGTCGGAATGTCTCAGAGTTAGGGCTATTCTCTCTCAGGGAGGATTTGGCCATCATTCACAGCAGAAAGCAGCTTCCCTCCACTTAAGAGTCTGGGTTCCAGAGCTTACATCTATCTTCCCATGTCCTTGGAGAAACACCTGCAGATGACACTCTCCCTGTAAGAAGAGTTTCTTCTTAGGGCAAAGAAAGATGGCACTATCAGAAGAAATATATTCATATGTCTAAAGTCTTGCCAGAACTGGTCTCCCTTCCCATATGCTCCAAGTGGCCTTCTGAGGTAGCACAATCTTCAGTAAAAAGACTTTGCAGAAGCTGCTTTTCTCGATGACTTCCAGAGCAGCCCAAGGAAGTGGCAGAGAATAAAAGTACTGTCCGCTCATCTCCCACCTCCTCCAAATCCGATCCCATTTAACTCCCCTGACCAATGTTGCATAGTGAGCCCGAACCATACAGGTGAGCTGGAGCTCGAGAGGATCTCAAGGCAAGTCACTATCCTGGCTTGAAGGCAACAAAAAGCCTCTGTCCAGCTGGTCGCAGCTGATGTTCCCAAGTACCGCCGCAGCCCTTCCCGAGGCCTTCTGCGTCCGCCCAGCCCCCTCGGGCTGCACAACTCCCAACGCCCACCCCAGGCAAAAATCACGTCCAGAATCTCGAGTCTTTGTTTTCCCCTCGTAGCAGTAGTAGCCTCTCAGCAAGGATTCGGGTGCAACTTGCTGGAAAACCTCAAGCAAGGAGAGAAACCACTTTTGGCTCCAAAGCGAGGACCGAGTGGGTTTGGGGAAAGTCACACTGCGTTGGAGAGACGGAGTCCGAGGGCCAGTAGTAACCGGCTTCCTAATGATGAGCTCGGGTGCCGGCCAGGGGCTCCAGGTGCTGCCAGTTCGAGGACGCAGAACTTTCAGCTGAAGGAGGGGCGGCTGCGGGATTCCGGCCTCTTTGTCTCGGCTCCCTCCGGCCGGGTCACCCGCAGCCGTCGTGCAGTCCCTCCAGGGTCCTCTGACCCGGCTAAGGCGCCCTCCAGCCCACCCCACCCCTGGGAGGGTCTCCCTCTCGAGCCGCCCCTCAACCTCCTCGCATCCTTGCCTACTGGCCAGCCTCACCCATTCGGGGTCCCGCCCCCGCCCCAGCTCCAGCTCTCCAGCCACTAAGTACAGCTCCCAAACCGGAAGTTCGAGCAGACGGCTCGGGGTACCGAGGGCGCATGCGCAACGGCAGCTACCGCTACTCAGTCTCCGCAGAGCTGCGGCGGGAGTAGCTGGTGGGCCCCGTAGAGCCGCCGAACTTCCGGGACTCGGCCGTGACCCCTTCCCGGCTTCCGGTCCGCTCTGCCGCATTGGTTGTCTCAGCGGGTTGATTCGGGACAAACCACACGACCCAGGGGCCGGTGCGAGTGTGGAAAGGGGAGCACTCCTCTCGTGGTCGCCTGGAGGGGCGCTGGAGGAGGGGGTGACGTATCCAGGGACTCGAGGTCGGCTGCGGGAATGATCCACGAACTGCTCTTGGCTCTGAGCGGGTACCCTGGGTCCATTTTCACCTGGAACAAGCGGAGTGGCCTGCAGGTACTGTCCGGCGCAGAGCGCGGGAACCAGGGAGAGCTGGAGCGGCGGACCTGAGCCAGCGCCTGGGGGATGAGGCTGAGGGACCGAGCGGGCGGGGCTTGCAGAGCTGGGGGTGTGTCCCTGGACAGGTGACTGGAGGGCAGTCCCTTAGGGTGAACGCTGATGTGACGCCTGGAGAGGCCGGGCTTAGGCTGGAAAACGGAGGGCAGACCTCGAAGAGCCCAGCCTCTGGCGGGGCGAGGAAAAGGCCTGAGGTCGAGGTGTCTGAGTGACAGTTGCTGGGAAATGATATAGAAGTGTGGGAGGCACTTTCTCCTATTTATTTTCACGCATGCATTGTTTGAGTTTTAAAGGACTGCTCCAAATACACAGCTCCCAAACTCATGGAAAGCGTTAAGTAAAGTTTGTAGAATGAAGAAATGAAATGGAGAGGGTGTGATGTTTCCCTCATTACTCCTTTACCAGGAAATTTCTGCACTAGATAAAGAACTTAGAAGGGAGCCTTCGTGTAACCAGGAATGTATGATGGTCCGTATATACATTATCTTATTTAATCCTCACAACCGCCTATATCCATTTTACGGATTAACCTAGGTTTAGAATGTCAAATAACTACCGGGATCACATAGCTAGTAATTAACAGAGCTTAGTTTTGAACCCAAGCCTGTCTGGCTTCAGTGTTTGAACTACTCTTACCTGCTTCTGCTTCCAGTAATATAATCTAATGTTCTCAATAATTTAGTAACTTAGGTATTGTTTCTACTGGTTAACAAATGATCAAACTGAAGGTCAGAGAACTTTATGCTGGCTAGTCCTGGTAATAGCAAGATTGAAATCTAGGTCCAACTGATCATGAAGACATGCCTGTTGCTAGGAGAATTTGCAATATGGACTGGAAGAGCAGAAAAGGTACATTCTTAGTCTATAAAACCTGTAAATCAAACAGATTCCTTTGTTATTATTTATGAATGTGTATTTGGAGTTAGGGAGTTTAGGTGAATTTTTTTTATTTTTTTATTTTATTTTTAGAGTGAGTCACTGTATTGCCCAGGCAGGAGTGCAATGGCACCCTCTTGGCTCACTGCAACCTCCGCTTCCCAGGTTCAAGCAATTCTCCTGCCTCAACCTCCCCAGTAGCTGGGATTACAGGCACCTGCCATTTTTCCTGGCGAAGTTTTGTATTTTTAGTAGAGACAAGGTTTCACCATGTTGGCCAAGCTGGTCTTGAACTACTAACCTCAAGTGATCTGCCCACTTCAGCCTCCCAAAGTGCTGGGATTACAGGCTTGAGCCACCACCCCCTGCCTACGTGAATTTTTGAAAAAAATAAGTGAGGTGAAGATTTGCCTGGTGGAGTTTGAATTGTTACTTTTGACCTGTTAGGTCTTTGAAGACTAAGTCGATGTTTCGCTTTTCTCCATAGAACTTTAGTACAATGCCAGGCATGTAGGAGGATAGTATTCAGGAAGTGTGTGTGTGCCTGATCGTCCAAAATGAAAAGAGGTAACACAGTAAGGGAAAGATAGCTAGGGAGGGGGTGGGGGAGACAGCCACAAGTAATTCATCTTTTCCCTTCCTTTCTTTTGTATGAAAAATTCTCAAACATGTATTTTCTAGCTTTTCATCCTTAAGGTCTCAGCTTTAAAGTCACTTTATCAGAAAAACTTCCTCTGGCCACATCTTTAAATTAAGCATCCTCCCCTAATGCCATTATTCTCTATCAACTTGTTTATTTCCCTTATAGGATTTGTCACAATTTTTATAATGTATTGTTGTTACCTGTTTATAAATCTTTCTCCCTCATAGGTTGCCCATGGGAGCAAAGACCATAGCACATTTTCTGCCACATAGCAAGTGTTTAGCTATTGATAGAAGAAGACAAAGACAGCAAATATTACATACTTTTTGCAGAGCGGTGTCTTTTACATTTGAATAAAGGGAACAGTTGTCATGAGTGCCAAGTGCTGATGAAAATTATTATAATATTGAATATAATATATACTCAAGCTAGGTATAAACTCAAGCATAATGCTGTTAAACAACTATAAAATCAAATATTCTTATAAATTAAAAGTAAACAAAACTACCAAATCAATATATTCAAATGACCATTACTCTAATTCAGGATTTCTCAGCCTGTTCATGTAAGTATGTTGTATAGAATGGTATCAGTAACTTCAAGGTATTTTGCTGTTTCAGAATAATTAGAGATTGAACTTTTTGAAAGCTCTGCCAAAAAGAAATGCTTAAATGCCAATTTTAATAATGGTATCATTGGATAACTGGTAGAGCTGCTTGTTAATAATACAAAATTGCTTATGTGTATTGAGCACTGGCTATGTGCTTGGGACATGTGCTTATTAACTTATTTAATCCTCACAATTATTTTCTTCAGTTTGTACATCTGAAAACTGAAGCACAGAGAGGTATGGTAACTTGCCTGAGCTTTCAAGCAAGAGGCAACACAGGGATTCAAACCCAGGCAGTCAGTCTCCAGAGACCAGGTTCTTAAGACCAGGTGTTGTGCTACCTCTTAAGTTACTAACTTGACGATGTGATTAGCATTGTGTCATTAAAATCTACATTAATTGATTCCTAATCAATTTTCTATGGACTCCGTAACAGAAAAATTCTTCTTTGCCTATTTGCCACCACATTTACTGTCATATAAAGATGACATCCACATATAATCTATCTTATATATCCACCCATTTATAATATGCCAAGTTCATTTGGAGCATTAACTGTATCTGATTTTGTTCACTCTTTTATATCAAAGTATTAGCACAGTATCTGAGATATAGTAATGGAAATGTGAAATGGTACAGCCATTGTGGAAAATGGTATGGCAGTTCTTCAAAAAATTAAATAAAGGCCAGGCACACGGCTCACACCTGTGATCTCAGCACTTTGGGAGGGTGAGGCTGAAGGATCAGTTAATGCCAGGAATTTGAGGCTAGCATGCACAACAGAGCAAGACTCCATCTCTACAAAAATTTTTTTTTAAATTAGCTGGGCATGGTGACACGTGCCTGTAGTCCTAGCTACTCTGGAGACTGAGGTGGGAGAATTGGTTGAACCTAGGGGTTCATGTTACAGTGAGCTATGAACCCACCACTGTACCCCAGTCTGGGTGACAGAGTGAAAGCTTGTCTCTTAAAAAAAAATTAAATATAAAATTACCATATAATCTAGCACTTCCACTTCTGAGTATATCCCAAAAGAAGTGAAAACAGGGACCCAGCAGGTATTTGTACACCCATGTTCACCAAGCATTATTCACAGTAGCTGAAAGGTGGAAGCAAGTGTTAATGGAGGGACCAATAGGTAATTGAGATGTGGTATAAACATACAAGGAAGTATTATTCAGCCTTAAAAAGGAAAGAAATTCTGGCACATGCTACAACATGGATGAACTAAAATAAGCCTGTCACAAAAGGACAAGTAATGATTCCACTGTTGTTGTTGTTGTTGTTTTTGAGACAGAGTCATGTTCTGTTGCCCAGGCTGGAGGGCAGTGGCGCAATCTTGGTTCACTGCAACCACCACCTCCCAGGTTCAAGCAATTCTCGTGCCTCAGCCTAGCTGGGATTACAGGCACCTGCCACCACACACGGCTTTTTGTATTTTTAGTAGAGGCGGGGTTTCATCACGTTGGCCATGCTGGTCTGTAACTCCTGACCGCACGTGGTCCACCCGCCTTGGCCTCCCAAAGTGCTAGGATTACAGGAGTGAGCCACCATGCCCGGCCTAAATGGTTCCACTTATGTAAGGTAGCTAGAGTAGTTAAAATTGTAAGGTTAGCAGAAAGAAAAGACAGTAAGCCCTACGTCAGGCAAACAAGTTTTATTAATCTGCTGGGCTGCTCCCTAACAATTAGAAGAGATAGCCCCGGGCCTAAAAAACAAGGAGTTTATATAGGTTGAGAGGAGCATAAGGGATTTTCAAGACTGAGCTAATCTGTCAGCTTGTAACAGGCACAAAGATAGTTTGTCAGCTGTGACAGACTTACAGTACATCATCTGGGGACTTTTGTGGTGGCAGTTTAAAAAACACAGGATTTTACAGGTATGTGTAAAACCGGAATTTAAACAGTTTTGTTTTCCATGACCTCCCCCGCGGCGCTGCCCAGGTGGCTGTAATCGGGCTTTGCTCAATCGTAGTGTATCTGGCAGCCTTGCTGTGGTGCCTAGATAGGAATGCAGCTGCAGAGCAATCAGAGTGGGGGTCAGCTGCCCCTAACAGGCCAGCCTTTTAATAGTTAATAGAAGAGGGGCGCCATTGTCATCTGGCTGCTTCTTGCTGGATAGGGGCCACGCTCAACATTTGGGCCGAGGGAGGCTAGATAGTAGGAATTGTTGTTCCTGGAGCTGTTAGTATTCTTGGAGCAGCATCATATCTTGTATTGTCCCATGGGCGAAAGCTTTAATACAGTCCTGTAAAAACTGGGCGAGGAGTCGTAAGAGGCAGGGACTAAATGCTAAAAGGGAGAAAAGGGTTATGGCAGGACCTAGGAGGGCCAGTAGCCAGGTTGCCCAGGGGTTACAGAACCACTGGGGCCGGGTAGAATTTAAGTTTTTGTGCTCGGTCTTTGAGCTTTTGATAGCATCCCGTACTAGCCCAGATTCATTGAGGTAGAAACATCATTGTTTATTTAAAAGGCACAGACCTCCTTTTTCAGCAGTGAGGAGGTCTAGGCCTCTCTGATTTTGTAGGATGACTGCTGCTACAGAGTCTAGTTGGTTTTGGAGGTGAGTGATAAGAGTTTGCTATTTTTTCTAGTGATGATTGGAAGTCTCCGTAGAGTGACTGGAAATATAATGAGGTTCCTAGGCTTCCTGCTTCCAACTTGACAGTAATTGTGACTCCAAGGTCTACTAATAAGGGAATGAACTGTATTGCTCTTTTTGAACAGGCATGTAATGTAGCAAGGACAGGGAGTCTTTGGTTTGGAGAGACAAGGTTAATGTTGGGGGTAAGGTAGACGAGGGTACAAGTAC